GTTGAAGCCAAGCACCAAGAGAGAGTACGTTTACATGGGGACTTGTACTATGAATTATGATAATGCTTTGGTTATACTAATGAGCCCCACATTATTTGTTGCCTTTATCCAATAACCTCCTTTTTCTTTTTTTTGGTCGCAATCCAATAACCTCTTTTTTTCTTTGTTCTACAATGTCCAGGTAATGCATACATCAATATTTTTCAACATAGAGAACAAAACAAAACAAAATGTTTTAAACTTTCTATTACACAAGGCAACAAATTAACAAAATCAAATGGGTTTGTAGAAAAAATAAGATGTATGAATCAAAGATTCCAATCTATATATCGGTTACAAATTTTTTTAACCGTTTTACTTTTAGGATAAAGTATCATAAGCATATACGACTTTTTTCATCAATACGTATACTTTTTGCCATCAATTGTTGCATAAAATGAAACAACCACAATTTTTTTTCTTTTGTTAAAAACCATAAAACAGAACCTGACAAAGTTTATTCTAAAGCAAAATGATATACTACCAAATACTAGCTACTGTTATAGAAATGCAAAATAATCTACGCGAATGATCAAGTCAAATAATCTCGGTACAAAACAAAATATCATAATCCAAGTAATGCTGTTTGCAATTGTCAACTATCTTATTTATAATATTGTAATCAAACAAAAATTGTAAACGATGACTATGGCGTTGTATATATCAACCCCCTCGGAAATATAATAAATTCAGCAAAAAAGTTACGAAATAACGTTTCCAATTAATTAAAAACCAATTTATTGAATGATACGTTTCAGTTTTACACATATATCCGAGTAAAGCTTAACAACTACTACATGCAAGAAGAATATTTCAAAATTTATTTTATTCATATTTTACAACAAAAATAAAAGAAGGAATAATTCAAACATTCCTGCACCCAAAAAAGGGACATTTGGCCAAACCCATCTTCATAATTTCATGCTAAATCAGATATAGAAAATAATTCCATTTTCAATTAGTTCATGTTAATCACTAATCAGACATTCAACAGTGTAACTAATAGTAGTAATATTATTAAGGAAATGTTTAAAACAAAACGGCTAAAAGTAAAAGTCACGTGATAGCTGTCTGTCTCGTGCTAATCACACAGCCGTTGGATAAGTTCGTTTGCTGACTCGGATCGGAGATTTACGGTGGACTGAGAAGTAGAGGATAACTACTCATTACTAAAGGCTGTACGAATGTCGTTTTCGGTAATACTTTTGTGGCTTTTGACCAGATATTGGGCGTTGAATAACCCGACCCGTTAACCCGAGAGCCATTTTGTATTATTTTACTTTATAAATTATTCTAGAAATTTACAGATTTAACTGTTAATGGATTAATTTTGGTTTGAATTCACACACTATG